GTTTTTCCCAACAACCGGCAAATTTTGGGCGGGACACTTTGATCTCACTGTGATTTTGAACTTTTATTCTTGCAGCATCGGATGAAGAAATCTCGGTGAAAAATCCGGCCTTTATGATGACGGCCGCTCTAACACACGCTTGTCAAATGGTCGAACTCATGGCGTATTACTTGGACGTGAATTTACCGAAAAGAATAAACTACAGGTATTGTGAACAGTTTTGTAAATAAAAGCCCTTTCTCTAGGATATAGCTCGCCAGTAAGGCCATAGAAAAGTCATGGAATTTTAAGTGTCAGTTAGGGAAATTCGGAAATTCTGATCATAGTCGCCGGGAAATCATTTTTTGTGCTTTGCGTTATGAACGTCACGTTATGGGTAGTAAATTTACAGCATTTGATGTTTTTCCTTTGTAGTGAATTTTGTCAATACGATCTCAGTAAAAGAGACTTTAGAAGCGCTGTAGATCGATTAAACGCGAACGTGTTACACTTATGTTTCACCCAGGTGAGGAAAAACATCGTTTCATTATTTTTGTGTAGTTAGAAGGGAAGTAACGGAACCTTTTGACCCAAATTACGCAACCGAGCCACAAAGGGAAAAGCTTGCCTTGTGCAAAGACAGCTGCGAAGCCTGGGGCCTGGGAGCTCTGGCTGAAAACGCTGCTGCCGAGGGGTTTTCCCGCGCTTTTGGCCCTGGGTTTTCAAAAGCGCGGGAAAAACACCGCCGGGATTTCAGTCAACCTCGTTTCCAGTTTGAAACACCATGGGAACGAGACTGGATTTCAATCGGAGGTTTGCCATTCCATTAAACGAGCAACTTTCTTTCATGAATCCCGTATTCCTTGCACAAAAATTCTGCATTATTAACTTATTTCGCGCACTAATTTCATTGTAATCAGCATGGTCGATCGTTTTTTTAGCATGTGGAACCGTCACTGCTTCGTCCCAGAAGAACATTACACAACCTGTACACTTGTGTGAATTCTCTTCATCTTGGACGGTAAGAGAGATTGATAAATATCGAATTCTCCTGAAAGTATCAAGATTTAAGTTAAGATCACACCGGTGCCGTACAGTGCGACTGCTCGAACCGGGGCACTTGGAAAAGGGTTAACCAATCAGAATGTCACTTGAGAACAAAGGATAGCGATCTTTTTCTCAAATGAAGCAATAACATTGAAGAATACGAGCAATAGATCTTAACAAAATTGAAAACCCAGCAGAGTGCGAAGCGTTACTGACCTCTCAGGAAACTTTGCCATTTGTTGATTTGTCAGTTTCGATCCTAAATTGAATAAATTTTGTATGTTTTGCAACGGGTTCGGTGTAGTTCGTCTTTGAGGCGCAAAATTTTTCGAGCGAGATTTATAATCATGGTAATTCGCCGTCAAGGACTGAATCTCTCAGAGTAACGCAGGGGAGTCGATCATGTTTATGCTTTCTCGTCAAACAGACCGTTACCTGCCGTCACGAATAGCTGCCAGTCAATTGTTCTCAGTTTACGTTTTGGTTGGTTAATTTTCTTCTAGGTGGCTGCACAGTAATGGTTTGCGAGCAGCCGCTGGCTTTTTTTTCCATATATTTTTCTTTTCAGTCCATCAATTGTGATGCGAGAGTACGCACGAGAGGAAAAATGGTCGCGCGAAGGGGAGAAAGCGGCTATGTCTCCTCTCGCGCTTTGTTTCGCGTCACGCTCGACGGACTAAGAGGGGCTGCTAAAGTATCAACCACTTATTAACGATTGTTCGGCCTAAAATATCAGTAACTTGCTCTTCTTTTCTTAGGGGAGGCCCATTTGAGTGTCATCCCGAGCTGATATCGATTAGCAACGAAAACGATGGCAGCGATGCCAGTGATCAAACTGACCCGGCTTCGGAAGAAGCAAACAGCGAATCGGACGCCGAATGGGAAAACCTATCTACGAACTTGGTTCACACGACAGATGCTTCCACTCACCAAGGGTCTTTGTTGCACTCTACATCACCAGAAGCCAGCCGGAAGGCAGACGAGCCCGCGACAGCTGCTAGCCTAGTTAGTTCAGCGGCTGCTTCCGTTGCCGCGCTTTGGCCGTGGAAAAAATAACGTTTGTTTTGTGTTAGGTTTTAACTTGTTTTAGTCTAAGGGTTAGGTGGTTCCTACTCCATCAGATTCGGTGATGGTATCAAAATATATATTAAAAAAATCATTCTAATCCCTCTGTACAACGCGATTTTGATTCTTGGTTTATTCATTGACGCATGTTTTGACCCCGGGGGGACTCCTACATAAAAGGGACGGGTGTGCTCGTCTTACCTTTTAAGGGATTAAAAAGCGGGTTTGGTACCTTTTAGGGTGCTCAGCCGCAAAACGTCCACAGCGGAAGCGGTGCCCAGGTTATTTAACTGGGCCGAAAAAAATGTCAAGCCACGCCCACAAAACAGGATCTTGGTACGTCTTAGGGGCTCTTTTCAACATTTCCGACTTCGCATCCCCGTCCTTTTTATATGGGAGTCCCCCCCACGGGGGTTTGGCCATTTCCCTGGCTATTCATTGAGCAAAACAAGTGACTTTACTTTCGTAAACTAGATTCTCTATTACAGAATGCATGAAATATCAGGCAACGTGTTTTGAATGCGATGTCCCTCGTTATTTAACTCATCCTCGATGTACCAAGTGCTGGATGTCGAAAATAAAATAAAAGAAAACATTTTGGCCTGACTCCTTTGTTACACTTAACACGTTAGGAAGACAAAATAGAACTCGTGTGTATAGCAATTCGCCTGGTACTTTCGGAAGGTCTCTCCTTTGGGAAGTTTCTGATAACCTGAAATGTTTTTGCTCGGTTTCGGGGCGGGGGGTGGGGGTGGTTCCATCGTCGTCCCCACCCCGTCTCTAGAGCCTTCTCCACTTTTCCAAATGGTGGGCGGGGCGACGCCATTTTGAAAAAAGTCGAGGAGCAGACCTTGGGGACGAGGTTTTGGGGTCGTTCGTTTGGGAATTTAGGCAGCGAGTTGTACGATTTGCAAACTTCCAATTTACATACATGCATACATACATAATTTATTCCAGATGCAAACCAGATATACAAATAAAAATTAAAAATAGAAAAAAAAGAAAGATGCATCTAGAAAAGGAAGTTAAGAGGTTATCCCTATGTGAAAATTCCCTTAAAAAATGCAATAAAATTAAAATTAAGATCCTTAATTACAATTTAAGTGCAATTTGAGCTTAGATTTAGATGTAAACCGCTGAAAGTTATCGATCGTTATCAGCTTCCACTACACCTCTTGTTAATTCATTCCATAATTTAACAATCCTAATGAAAAATGAATGTTTGTAACAATATTAAGTCTTGCGGCTTTGACCGAAAGTTTGTACTGACGATTAGCTCACGCAGACGGAGTTGTGGCGAAATCAAAAAAGTCTTCAAATTTCAAATGGTAAAAACCAAAAACTATCTTATAACACGCAACTACAGTCGAACAGAGTAGGCCATGAATTTACATCAAAGTTTTTGAAATTCTGTTAGTTTTTTTCGTCCCATAAAGATCAGAGTTGGATCTTTTCCTAACCGATGAAAACGACGTTTTGACCTGGTACAGCAATGCGCCCTTTAGCAGTGGTTGTAATTCCTGTTATGAAACGGCATCCCCTTGTTTTGAACTGGATGCGGCGAACAAATTGACCATCTTCGGTGTACATTGAGACTTCAGTACTCGTTTGTGACTGCAGTGAAGCAACGAGCACGGTTTTGCTTGCCTTGTGAAATGTGACAGCAACTCCACTATCATCAGCTGTAGATCCCTTAACTGCAAACATATCAAGTAACTGTCCTTCGTTACTGAACACCAGAACAAGTGGAGATTTTTCCCCGTTCAACACTACCACTCGGTCTGTATTGGCGATAGTGATATCTTGTGCATTTTTCAAATGCTCGTTTCCAAAGCTATGCATAAATACTCCGCCTGTATTGTATACTGCTATCACATCATTGTGGCAATCTGAAAACGCACCTCCCGTGACAAACACTCGCTTGTTGTCGTCCACTGCAATAGACGAGCCTCTAAAACCTTCTCTTAAAGCGAACTTGTGCTTTGGGTGTCCATCCTTGTTGAATACATGCACTTCGCTCAAATTAGCCATTGGGAAATCGTTTCTTCTCAGTGTCAACATATACAGGTCATCGTTGCCGTCGGTGGCGACATTCCAGACTTCGTAATCATCTTTAGACTGCAAATCTTCGGCAAAAGGATAGAGTGAGTGGATAAACCTGCCGCTGCCATCGAATACTTTTACGTTGCTATCAACACTGTCTGCTACAATGAAATCGCCTCGCGCGTTTGACGTTATACCCCAAGCAAACTTTAGCTTGTGTTCCTCTTCGCCCTCCTGGCCGAACGACCATGTCAAACAACAGTGCTCTATCCGTGCATTGTGCAAAGGATCAATTTTCGCGCCATTTCTGACAGTAACACAAGGCCAGTTGAGAAGCTCTCCAAAGCCATGACCAAACTGTTGCGTGACATCGCAGATAACGCTGTTTATGTCACAGACTTCCTTCTCCAGTTGCAGCTGGATGTCTGTATCGCTTCTTTTTCTGCTAAAATTTTCCTCTACAGCTGGCATGGAGTTCAGCTCCTCAAGGCATAATTTGCACGCAACTAAGGCTTCGGCAGGGTGGTCCACTTTCTCCAACAAAGTCGCTGCTACACGACATCGCATGGCAAAAATGCGTTCACTCGTGCTAAGAGCTTCATTGCAAAAGGCTTTCGTCGCTTTCCTACGAGCGTCTTTAAATCTTTCCTTCGCATCAGACAGCATCCTAATGGACGAGTCATCTAAGTCCGGTTTTAAGGCCTTAATGAGATATATTGCCTCTAGCCAAGCTGCCGATGGCGTCTCACTTCCGGGTGTAGACGCTTCCCCTATCGTTGGTAGGCGACCGTTTATGCCAGTCACCGATGCCTCGTGAAATACTTGGCACAGATACACAAATCCTTCGTTAAAAAAGCTGATACTTGCAAGGAGATCCTTCCTTGCAATTCCGTCGAGATTCGACTTGGCAACGGTGATTCCTTGCTCGATCGCGGCGATCAGTTGTCGTTTTTTATTTTCACCGGGCCTTTCTAGCACTGCCTTGGCTGTTTGAGAAACTACACATCCAACACCTGCTTTTAACAGAGCATTTCCGATCGAATGCATGGCACCAACTGAACGTTCAACGTACTAGGATCTTTAGAGGCGGGTGGGAAAATAAAAGCGAAAGTCATCTACTCGTCCTAGTGTCTCGTGACCGGAAGGGCCTTGGCATCGGTCCAAACGGGAACGGCGCAAGAAGCAAGAATCAACAGGACGTCAAATTAATTCATGAAAGGTCTTGTTTTTACAGTTTTATTTGACCTTAATCGTTTTAAATATCGATGGAAATCAGGTTCTCTGCGCTAGAGATAATCTTGTAAAATTCTGCTATAGGAGAAAACAGTAGGTCACGGCAATACTATCAAAGTATCAAACTTTCTTGAGTGTTTGCGTTTGGCTTTGTAAACAAACAAGAAACAGCCGTTTTCTGATTTAGATTCCTAGGCTCTCTCATAGGCGAGAGAACCTGGGATCGAGGGTGGGGAGAGAATGGGGAAATTCCTTCAAATACCATAAATAATCCAATTAGCACCCGAGGTGCTTATTTCAAACTTTTTTAAAGACACGGGGGCGCACATTCAAAGGAGGCGTTTAACTGAGGGGGTGGAGGAGCTTACTCGATGGGTTCCTAATATTTTTCAAATCGTGGCCAGATATTATCGTTTCTTGTAATATATCATTTACGTGAAACAAGAACATACGCTGTGTACAAGTGAATGTATGAAAGATAATATATTTGAACTGCGGAGAAAGATATAAAGACATGATTAATCATCGCAGTTATACACACAAGTTAAGCAGTTGTGAAAAAATATATATATAGGACTGAACGGCATTCGAAACCATGACCTCTGCGATACCGGTGCAGTGCTCTACCAACTGAGATATCAAGCCAACTGGGAGCTGGTCACATTGTGAGTTCACTTTCTTGCGGGCTTTAATTTCACAA